TCTTGAGGCTGTGGGCGCCGGTTCGGATCTGTGCTTGCACGGATCTGTGCTTGCACGGAAGATGCCTTGTGTGATGTTGTGTGTGTGTGTGAGTTGAAGTACACTACAGCCATATAGGGGTGGGGTGGATATCATGACAGGCATAAACCACTTTTGAGCACCGTGTCATGGCTGTAGTGGTTAAGAGACTCAACTCTTGAGACTGAGGGCGTCGGTTCGGATCCGTGCTTGCACGGAGGAGGTCCTGTGGCTGATAAAAGTACAGATTGTACTTTAACTCGGTATCCTGCGGGGAAAATGACCAAGATGTTGTGGCGCGTGGATAAAACCGTTGGATAAGCACTCGTGCTGGAGGAGAGCGGAGTGTGCTACTACTCCATGTGTGGCGGATGCCTTGTGTGGTGTTGTATTTGTGTGTGTGAGTTGAAGGACACTACAGCCATGCAAGGGTGGGGTGGATATCACGACCGGCATGAAGCCACTTTTGAACACCGTGTCATGGCAGTAGTGGTTAAGAGACTGAGCTCTTTAGGCTGAGGGCGCCGGTTCGGATCCGTGCTTGCACGGAGAAGGTCATGTGGCTGATAAAAGTACAGACTGTACTTCAACCGGGTAACGAGCTTGGAAAATGACCAGGATGTGGTGGCCCGTGGATGAAACTCTTGGATAAGCAGTCGTGCTGGAGGAGAGCGGTGTGTGCTACTACCGCCTGTGTGGCGGATGCCTTGTGTGGTGTTGTGTGTGTGTGTGTGAGTTGAAGGATACTCCAGCTATGCATGGGTGGGGTGGATATCACGACCGGCACGAAACCACTTTTGAACACCGTGTCATGGCTGTAGTGGTTAAGAGACTCAACTCTTGAGGCTGAGGGCGTCAGTTCGGATCCGTGCTTGCATGGAGGAGGTCCTGTGGCTGACAAAAGTACAGACTGTACTTGAATCGGGTAACCAGCCGGAAAAATGACTAGGATGTGGTGGCCCGTGGATAAAACCGTTGGATAAGCAGTCGTGTTGGAGGAGAGCGGAGTATGCTACTACTGTTTGTGTGGCGGATGCCTTGCTGGTGTTGTGTGTGTGTATGTGAGTTGAAGGGCACTACAGCCATGCAGGGGTGGGATGGATATCACGACCGGCACGAAGCCACTTTTAAGCATCGTGTCATGGCTGTTGTGGTTAAGAGACTCAGCTCCTGAGGCTGAGTGCGCGGGTTCGGATCCGTGCTTCCACGGAGGAGGTCCTGTGGCTGATAAGAGTACAGACTGTACTTCAACCGGGTAACCAGCCGGGAAAATGACCAGGATGTGGTGGCCCGTGGATAAAACCGTTGGATAAGCTGTCGTGCTGGAGGAGAGCGGAGTGTGCTACTACATCCTGTGTGGCAGATGCTCTGTGTGGTGTTGTGTGTGTGTGTGTGAGTTGAAGGACACTACAGCCATGTAGGGGTGGGGTGGATATCACGACCGGCATGAAGTCACTTTTGAACACAGTGTCCTGGCTGTAATGGTTAAGAGACTCAGCTCTTGAGGCTGATGTCGCCAGTTCGGATCCGTGCTTGAGGAGGTCCTGTGGCTGATAAAAGTACAGACTGTACTTCAATCGGGTAACCAGCCGGGAAAATGACCAGGATGTGGTGGCCCGCGGATAAAACGGTAGGATAAGCAGTCGTGCTAGAGGAGAGCGGAGTGTGCTACTACTGCATGTGTGGCGGATGCCTTGTGTGGTGTTGTGTGTGTGTGTGTGTGAGTTGAAGGACACTACAGCCATGCAGGGGTGGGGTGGATATCACGACCGGCACGAAGCAACTTTCGAATACCGTGTCATGGCTGTAGTGGTTAACAGACTCAGCTCTTGAGGCTGAGGGCGCCGGTTTGGATCCGTGTTTGCACGGAGGAGGTCTTGTGGCTAATAAAAGTACAGGCTGTACTTCAAGCGGGTAACCAGCCGGGAAAATGAGCAGGATGTGGTGGCCCGTGGATAAAACCGTTGGATAAGCAGTCGTGTTGGAGGAGAGCACAGTGTGCTAGTACTGCCTGTGTGACAGATGCCTTGTGTGGTGTTGTGTGTGTGTTAGTGAGTTGAAGGACACTATATGAATGCAGGGGTGGGGTGGATATCACGATCGGCACCAAGCCACTTTTGAACACTTTGTCAAGGTTGTAGTGGTTAAGAGACTCAACTCTTGAGGCTGAGGTCGCGGGTTTGGATCCGTGCTTGCACGGAGGAGGTCCTGTGGCTGATAAAAATACAGACTGTACCTCACCCGGGTAATCAGCCTGGAAAATGACCAAGATGTGGTAATCCGTTGATAAAACCGTTGGATAAGCAGTCATGTTGGAGGATAGCGGAGTGTGCTACTAATGTCTGTGTGGCGGATGCCTTGTGTGGTGTTGTGTGTGTGTGTGTGAGTTGAAGGACACTACAGCCATGTAGGGGTGGCGTGGATATCACAACCGGCACGAAGCCCCTTTTGAAAACCGTGTCATGGCTGTAGCGGTTAAGAGACTGAGCTCTTGAGGTTGAGGGCGCCAGTTCGGATCCGTGCTTGCACGGAGGTCTTGTGGCTGATAAAAGTACAGACTGTACTTCAACTGAGTAACCAGCCGGGAAAATGACCAGGATGTGGTGGCCCGTGGATAAAACCGTTGGATAAGCAGTCGTGATGGAGGAGAGCGGAGTGTGCTACTACTGCTTGTGTGTCGGATGCCTTGTGTGGTGTTGTGTCTGTGTGTGTGAGTGGAAGGACAATACAACCATGCAGGGGTGGGGTGGATATTACGACTGGCACGAAGCCACTTTTTAACACCGTGTCATGGCTGTAGTGGTTAAGAGACTCAGCTCTTGAGGCTGAGGGCGCCGGTTCGGATCTGTGCTTGCACGGAGGAGGTTCTTTGGCTGATAAAACTACAGACTGTACTTCAACCTGGTAACCAGCCGGGAAAATGACCAGGATGTGGTGGCCCGTGGATAAAACCGTTGGATAAGGAGTCGTGCTGGAGGAGAGCGGAGTGTGCTACTACTGCCAGTGTGGCGGATGCCTTGTGTGGTGTTTTGTTTGTGTGTGTGAGTGGAAGGACAATACAGCCATGCAGGGGTGGGGTGGATATAACGACCTGCACGAAGCCACTTTTGAACACCGTGTCATAACTGTAGTAATTAAGAGACTCAACTCTTAAGGATGAGGGCGCCGGTTCGGATCCGTGCTTGCACGGAGGAGGTCCTGTGGCTGATAAAAGTAAAGACTGTACTTCAACCGGGTAACCAGCCGGGAAAATAACCAGGATGTGGTGGCCTATGGATAAAACCGTTGGATAAGCAGTCGTGCTGGAGGAGAGCGGAGTGTGCTACTACTGCCTGTGTGGCGGATGCCTTCTGCGGTGTTGTGTGTGTGTGTGTGAGTTGAAGGACACTACAGCCATGCAGGGGTGGGGTGGATATTTGGACCGACACGAAGCCACTTTTGAACACCGTGTCATAGCTGTAGTGGTTAAGAGACTCAGCTCTTGAGGCTGAGGGCTCCGGTTCGGATCCGTGCTTGCACGGAGGAGGTCCTGTGGTTGATAAAAGTACAGACTGTACTTCAACCGGGTAACCAGCCTGGAAAATGACCAGGATGTGGTGGTCCGTGGATAAAACCGTAGGATAAGCAGTCGTTTTGGAGGAGAGCGGAGTGTGCTACTACTGCCTGTGTGGCGGCTGCCTTGTGTGGTGTTTTGTGTGTGTGTGTGAGTTGAAGGACACTACAGCCATGCAGGGGTGGGGTGGATATCACGACCGGCACGAAGCCACTTTTGAACACCGTGTCATGGCTGTAGTGGTTTAGAGACTCAGCTCTTGAGGCTGAGGGCGCCGGTTCGAATCCGTGCTTGCACGGAGGAGGTCCTGTGGGTGATAAAAGTACAGACTATTAGGAAGATCAGGGATTGGAAATGTAGGATCGCCGTCAGTGGGGCCGAGCTGCACAAAAGTGTCCATCTTTGCACTAGATAAGCGAAAGAAGAGAGAAGGAATGGGAAGCTAGCGACTCGGCACATCCTTCAATTTTTTTTTTTTTTTTTTTTTTTTTTTTTTTAGGGAAATCCTTCAAAATTGAAACGATACACAGAGAAGACTTTTTTAATTTCTTTTTTTCTTTTTCAAAAATTTGGACCATTTCTCCATTTATATGTGTCATCCTTGGGCACGGGAAGTACCTGAACGCCTGAATCTGGACGCGTGTGTGGAGATGTGTGGAAATGGTGTTGAGTTTCCTGAACCGCACTTGTCCACAAACACGTCCAGATTCAGGCGTTAAGGTAGCTCAACGCTGGTAGTGGGACTTGGCCATGTATCGTTCCAATTTTAACGGATGTCCCCAAGGACCGAGGAGAATATTTTGTCGCATGGACCATGAGCAAGGATGACCTGGGGCGTCGCTCCACCTTCCACCAAAATATGTACAAATTGGAACGAATCTTCCGTTAGAACATGGGCAGATACACCGCCATATTTTTTGTCGTTTGTGCCTGTGGAGAGTGGTGGAGCGAGGCCCATACATTATTGCATTACAAGAGAGATAAATCAAGAGATCCCCCACCCCCCAAAAAGAAAAATAAAAAAAATTAAATTTATGAATCAAAAACAAAGAAAAAGAAAACAGGAAAAAGAAAAAACACCAAAGAAGGTGCGGTTAACAGCATCCCCTGCCTGTACTTTATGCCATTGCTGACGGCCTACGTCTAAAGACCTATAGTCCAATCTCGGTGAATGAATCTGACCGCAGACACTGTCAAAATTCGGTCGAGTAAGTTCGAGCTCGATTTGCACTTTACACTTACATGTCATCTGGATGCCAATATCCTCGGCGTGTGGATGCTCGCTCACGAAGTCGACGTAAGGGGAGGGGAACTGCTGACGGCGTGCGGATCATCGCCCACTGGTGTTCTGCTTGATTTTCAGCCCTTCGTTGTGTGTATAAAGAGCCCACGAGCGGGGTTCTCGACGAACACAAACGCTTGCCTAGACCCAGAGAACCGTGGTAGTAGAGAGTCCAGAGACCGAAGTCCACCAACGACTGTGGCATCACGAGAGGCTGCGCGAGAGAAGAACGCTTGACAGCCCAAGGACGAAGTAGCCGGCCGAGGAGGAGGGCGAAGCTGAGAAGAGCGGCGATGGCTCGATCACTCTTTCCTGTGGTGGCCGCCATGGCGGCCGTGGTCGTCGTTTCACTTCTGAGCGCGGCCGTCCCTGCAAGCGCCAAGCCGCCGAAGCTGACGATCGAATCGGTCACGTACCTGGGCTCCGGCTGCAACTGGCAGAACACCAACTACGTCTTGTCCAACGACTACTCGACGGTCACTTTCATCTTCGGCGATATGATTGCCACCACGGACGGAGGGCTGGCCAACAGGAGGAGGAACTGCCAGGTGTCGCTCGGGTTGAAGTACCCCAAGCGCTGGAGTCTGTCGCTGGGAAGCGTGACTGGCCGCGGCTACGGCAAGCTCGATAACGGCGTCGAGGGCACCTATCAGACCAGCTACTACTTCTCCGGACAGACGGGGACCTCTTACGTCAAGCGCACTCTCAACGGCCCACTGGAGCTCAACTACGAATACACCGACGCCTTCGCCCTGCTCGTGTGGAGCCAGTGCAACAGCCTGCCGAACCTCAACATCAACTCCGAGGTGAGAGTCGACGGCCCGGCGGGTCGCAACGGCATCATGACGCTGGATTCCACGGACAAGAAGTTCAAGCTCATCTACTTTCTCAACTGGAGCACGTGCTAATGATGACAGGCTGATCTGCATCCAGCGAATCACAACCACTCTGTCAAGACGTCCTCGGGGACGGCGGTTTAAATAGATAGGCGCAGAGGTGGGTGTGGAGTTTTGTCTATGGCTCTAGATAGGGAGGGATAGCTATGGAGGAGGAGGAGATGTACAGCCATCGTTACGCTGTTGCCGCCCTCCTTGAGGTTGTAGGTAGGTAGGGCTTCCCAGCAGCTCTACAGTGTCTGCACATCGTCAAGATGATGTATCGTGTCTTCTAGCTAGTCTGTTGTTTGAGAATTGCTCCAGGGACTCACCTGAAGAGATTGAATACGCCAATACTTCATTTCATTCGTTGGGCAAGGCAACGCTCGATCTTTCTTCGTTATTGTTGCAGTCCGTGAATCAAGTTGAAAGCTCAATGCTCAGTTCCGCACTTATCCTACTACGCTATCTCTTCTCTCTCTCTCTCTCTCTCTCTCTCTCTCTCTCTCTCTCTCTCTCTCTNTCTCTCTCTCTCTCTCTCTCTCTCTCTCTCTCTCTCTCTCTCTCTCTCTCTCTCTCTCTCTCGCTCGCTCTCTCTCTCTCTCTCGCGCGCGCACGCACTTGAACTTTTTTGCTTTGACTGCCTTAAGATGGTACTATGTTTAAGTTTGTATCGTCAATATGTTCTGAAGAATCAATTAAACGTAGTTCTTTTGATTCAGATGTCTTTAAAAAAGTGCATGCTCATGTGCTGTGTCGGTTCCCTTATTACGTTGGTCAATCTCTGTATGCACTGTGCAGATGTCAATCCTTGCACCCCTCAGCAGGTCCTGTTACTTGATACCAAACTGCGTCCACCGTTCTCTAGTGACTGCAGTTCCCAAAAACGCCTCCAGTGTTGTCAGCTGATGTCCGGCCACCTCATACAGCTTAACCCTTGTGTGTAACCCACCTTAGCAGACGGCACATCCCCTGTTTTTTCATCCCAACTGGATTTAACTGATACTTTGTTTGTCAACTGTGAACTGTCACATTTGTGTGGCAGTCAGCAACATGCACTTGTAATGGGCCTCATGTTAGGTTGGAAAAAGTTCTAAGATTTTTCCACAAGAACACCTAGGTACCTTAAGGCTCGACTACACTGCGATTTCACTTGTTTTCCATGCTCGATGCACCACCCACCGCTCAACAATTCTTGCTTACCAATATGGCAATATGGTGCAGACCAGAACCCAGAACGGACCCCTCACAGCTGTAGTAAGGATAGCACAGCGGAGGACTGAAATACCAATAATCAGACCCAATCAATGTGTTGACACGGACTGAAAATCATCATCCTCATCACACGGTGTGAAGGGGGACCAGGCGCTATCACGCAGAGAGGAGGCACCAGGCACCGACATTCATCGATGAGGTGCAGGGAGGAGAGACGAAGAGGGCGGGAGGGAGAAGGAGAGAGGTAGCCAATGTCTTCGATACCGATCCCAAAACAGTCCCCCACAATGCCACTGCTCATATGTCAAGTCTGAATCTCGATGTCACCAAGTGCAGAGGGCCTCCATCTGCCCTGGCCTACAGCCAGGGCCTATTCAGCTATTTACCACTTCGGCCTGTGGGACCAGGCCGTGGCCTGACCCCACAGGCCGTGTACTGTTTCTGTCCAGTCCAGTCCTGCCCGGTACCACTGTCGGTACCAGGCCAGTCCAGTCCAGTCAGTCCGCTGGGGGTATACCCCAGCTGCAGTCTGTATCTCGTCATTCTTCATTTTGCACTTGTTGGAGTATGTGCGGTGTTTTGAGTCTGCGTCGGAGCTGCGCTGTCTCTTCCAGCTCCATCTCCACTTCCTCCTTCCTGAACCCCCTCTTGTCCATCCTGTCTGACCGCCATCCCGGCGGGTCCGGCACACTGGTATCAGAGCGGGAACGGTCCCGCTCCAACCCGCACCCCCTTCCCCCCCCTCAGCAGCGGGAAATTGGTGTAAAGGCCAAGGCTGCCGCATGCGCGTGCACTCCACGCGCCCACGCTGCTCCGCTGCCCCGCCCCGCCCCGCTCCCGGATATATATTATCAAGCTCTGGGATGCTGCTGCTGCCCGGGTTTGAACCTGGGCAGCTGCTGCTCATGCGCGTGCGTGGCCAGTGCCTTAACACACTGGCCAAAGACACAATATGAGTTGATATTGTGGCTTGCTGCTGTTGAAGAGGTGGCACAGCAGCTACTGATCCCAAAACGCTCGCCCACAATGTCATTGCTCATATGTCAAGTCTGAATCTCGATGTCACCAAGTCTCAATGTCACAAATCCCTCTCTCTCTCTCTCTCTCTCTCTCTCTCTCTCTCTCTCTCTCTCTCTCTCTCTCTCT